GTATTACTGTATTAATAAATAAAAAATCAATAAAACAATTTTATTAAATTTAAAATTTTTTAATTTTAACCAATCATGTTTTTTTTGATTGGGATAATCTAGAATATTCTGATCGGCAATATTTACCATATTAGGAAATTGATCACCAAGATATATTTGGTAAATTCCCTGACTGAAATTACAATGAAAATGAATCATTACAATACATTTACTTTTGTGTATAATGAATCTTTCGTTGATTGCAATCTTTTTTTTTTAATTTAGCATATTTTGATTTATATCTTATTGATACTATCGAATGAATAAATAAATATATTATAAACATTTATTTAAATTCACAATATGTAGCACAAGCTTCTTTTACTGTGAAACAAGAATTCATCTCAAAATCAATTGCTATCAAAGGAAAAGGCCTTCTATAAACATCGTCTTGTCAGCCATGAACTTAATTGGTTCTGTGAAATTCAATTTTTCTGTATCACTTATATAAGCGAACAGGAGGTGGATTTTATTATTCTCAATTTCTTTTGTAATGTTCTGTAAATGAACGAGCCGTATCCGGTTAAATGTAAATATAAAATTTGGATTAATTTATTATGTACATAATATAAATTAATTAATATAACTGTATTCATTCGAAATTAAACTTTAAGCCGCAATTCAAAAAGCTGCAACTAATAAAAAATTCAGAGGCTATTGAATTATTTTTAGGGTGAAATCGTAAAGATAAAGCAACCCTTGTGAAACTGTGAAACAAGGTTATAGGGCAAAAAAAAAAAAAATTCAAAATTTATTTTACTCTTTAATAAGTTAGTCGGATCCCAAAAATTTATTCCTAAGTAATTTTTTTGAAAATCATTTCTTTATTGTATTACATGATTAAGTAAGCAAATCAAAGGACTTTAAATAAGGAGGTGACAAGGAAAATATTAAGAAATATATGAAAGACGTTCTCGTACTTTTAAAATCGACTTGATCCTTCTAGCTAGGACAAAAAGATTTATTGGTTCTTGTAACAAATTGACCACCCGACCCTTTTGCTAGCTTAAATATCACACGGGTGATTTATTTGTGTCACAAAGTATGATTTGATGATTTCTATGGTTACTCAAATTTTTATAAATCCACGTCTTGTTATGCCTTGTTGAACAAGCACAAAAGGAGTAGGAAAAAAAAATATTATTATAAAATGTTTCTCATTGTAAAATGATGGAAAATGATTGAAGATGAGTCATTTATTTACGAATGGTGTTTTAATATGACACATGAAAACATCGCTTATGTCAAAACATAAAAAAATGAATTTCATGTAAAACTACGTTCAATCGATGAGGCAAAGTTAACTTACTATTTTTCGTTTTTATTATTGCATTCTTTGTGTCAATATCATTGGCGTTTTATATTTCCTTCCATTGGGTTCTTTTGAGGAAATTCTTTAAAAAGCGCCTGACAAACGTACGACATAACATGCAGGATTTTGTTTATTTTTAATTAAGAGACGTTTCGCAAAAGAAAGAGTTCAAAGGGCCATATTGATCTTCTAAGAATTGCGGAAGTTTCGATAACATGAAACAGAAAAGCCCACTGAAATTTAAACTTAATTTACCCCTAAAACTATGAGGCATTCAAAAAAAGAAATTAAGATTAAAAGCAACGTAATAAAAAAAAGGTAAAATGGTGATATTAGATTTCTTAAATAATTTCTATAATATGTATATCTTTATATTATTCGAATTGTCTTTCTCAAGTCATTGTTTTTTTTTTGTAGAACGATATAGTATAGTATTTTCAAAAAGTTTTTGTTGATTTTTTTTTGATTAAAAATGGTATAAATAGAGGTATGATCGGCAATACAAATTTGACGTGTACGACCATAAAGGAAAAAAAAATTTTTTTTTTATGCAAGCTAAAAAGATTTTGTTTCTTAGAATCAGGGATCAAAAAAAAATAAAACAGTTTTAGAAATTTTAATTTGATTGAAGAAAAATATTAAATTCCGATTAATTTTGGTAATCCAACTTTTAATGAAAGTTCAATAAATAATTTTTTTGATATAAATGAACGCTTCTAACAACATTTCAAAAAAAAAAAAAAAAAAATTAAACTAGAATCAAAATAAATCCATTTAAGAAACACATTATATATATATTTTTCAATATAACGCAAACATGTCTATCTTCGATTTAGAAGTATGTTTAACTTATTATAAGAAAAATTAAAGATTTATATTTATCGCTTATTTATCTCGTTTATAGACCGATGATCAAATTAAGGAATTTATGCAAGGTGAAGGAAAAAATATTAGAAAACCGTATGTGGAATTAAGTCGCCGTATTCCCAACTTCTCTTCTAAACAATTATGTAATAGGTAAGTTATAACTAGAAAATTTTTTTCAAGACATCTTATTCATGACTTTCTATGCCTTTCTTTTAATCATAAATTATAGGTGGAATTATAAACTTAATCCTCGCCGTACGTAAAATTTGTCTTTTTTTTTTTTAAAAAAAAAAAAACTAAATTATATGTTTACTCCTCTTGAACATGATTTACCTAATGTCTATCATCGTAAACCTGTCAAAAAATTCAACCCACCTTTAAACTTACCTAAAGTCAACCCCTCTACTACAAATACAACAATTGCCTTCTCTAATGTCCCTATTCTTCGACCACGTTCTCGATTACCAACACTAATTCCTAATTACCAATCAGAAATTAATATTCCGAAAATTAAAATGTTGCCTTTATTTTAACCCGTCGGGATTTTACTCGAAATGTTTTTTTTTATTTCCTATAACGTTTGCATTAGTTTTATTTTTTTTAATTTAATAAGGTTATTGGTCTTCATTTTATAAGACATGGAATTTTAAGAAAATTTTTTTATTTCTTTCAATATCAATATATATTATTACAAATTTTCTGATTTTTGAACAACCATTTTTATTAATATTTTATATACACAAATAAATTTTATTTATTCACAAATTCACAAAAGTATTTTTTAAAGGATTTTAAAGGAATATCCATATTCATAAGATTGGATATACTTACCTTTTTAAACTTTTAGTTACTCTTTCTTATATATTTATGTCAACTTTTTAATAATAATAAATATTTTACTTTACGATCATTTATTACATTACGACGATATAAAAAATATATTAAGGTTTTCCAAAAAAAGTCGTATCACATGTAAGGTCTTTAAGATTTTACAAGTGACAGAAAGAAAGAAATAAAAGGAATTTCGTTGGAACATTCAATTTAAGATAACTGACGAAATTACAAGTCGTATCAATCAGTCAAAAATTTGATGCTAAAACTCATTGATATTGATGATATTTAAAACCCACTTAATTTAAACTTTTCATACCAACTTTTAAGACAAAGTTGCCTGTCATCTTTTTTAAATGCGAATTTGCTTTTTGGATTATAACGATTACTCAAGGTATTTATAGTATGTTTTACAAATGTGAATACATATATGAATCATTTTTGACATTTTGATTTTTGGAAATATTTGCATGAACTTTTCACAATATAATCACTGGTTTTCTTTAAATTAATATTTATCTTTCAAAATCTTCATTATATAGTGACAGATAAAAGAAATGTAACAACTTATTTTTAGCTTTAAAAGTTTATAACTTATTAATTACAAATGCTAAGAAACATAATTTTTGATTCATTTTAATCCTTACATTTTGAAAAATATTCTATAAAAATTTATTAGCCAATTAATAATGCCAATTTTGTATAATATAAAGATCTACATTAAAAATAATACTTAATGACTTTTAAGCTTTAGGTTAGCTCAGTGATAGCAAGTGATCTAAATAATCTCAAATGACTTAAATGACTGGTTATGTGTCATTTGGATCATTTTAACATTAAATGACAAATGACTTGGTCATTTAAAAATTATATCATATGATTTCAAAAATTCTGGTCAAAATAATTAATATAATTTAATATTTTAAACGTTTTTCATAAATATTTCACATGATATAATTTGTAATTCTGGCCAGCATATAAAATTTGGTCTGTATTACATTTAAATGACTAAATAACAAATGACTTCAAATGATCAAGTCATTTAAAAGTCATTTAAAGGTCATTTCAAAATGGTCAAATGACTTAATCTTTTGGCATTATTAGACTAGCTATCATTAAACTGATACTGCATTCTGATTCTCCTCTATATAACAATTTTAATAAACTAAATTTCATCTAAATTAGACCATTTAATCAGAAGATATCATGTAGTAAAAATCAGTATTTTATTATAAAAAATGAGTCTAACCAATTTTATATAGTAAAATATTGATATTTGCTGTATAATATCTTCTGATCAGATGGTCTGATTTAAACAAAATTTAGTTTATTAAAATCTTCACATAGAGGAGAATTAGAAACTAGTATCAGTTTATGATAGCTAGCTTGCTTAAAAAGTTTTCTAAGCTCAAAAGTCATTAAGTACTATTTTTAATGTAAATCTTTACATTATACAAAATTGGTATTATTAATTGGTTAATAAATTTTTATAAGATATTTTTCAAAATATAAGGATTAAAATAAATTAAAAATTATGCTTCTAGTATTTATAATTAATAAGTTATAAGCTTTTAAAGCTAAAATAAAATTATTGCATTTTTTTATTAGTCACTATATTAAAAAAATTATTATAAATAAATTTGTTAAAAAGGATTATTTTATATATATGTATTTATAATTTTTTTATATATTATTATACAACTTTTATTTAATAAAATTTAATATAACATTTTTTTAATATAGAAAATCTGTATTATATTAAAAATTTATTATATTATAAAATTTGTTATTTAAAATTTGTTATATTAAAAATAAACTATATATAAAATTGATTAAGAAATAAATTAATATTTTATTATCTTAATTATATATAAACTTCATTTATAATTGCAATTATTGATTTTATTTTTACTTTTTTAATTATATCAATTAAAAATCACTAATATAATTAATTTTTTTTTTGTCTTTATTTTATAAAAATTAAGATTTTTAGTTATTTAATTTAATTTTTATTTATTAAATAATTAAAAGATATTTTATTATAAATAATAAAAATATATAAATATTATTTATTTCTTATTTAAATTAATAATTATAATTAAAAAAAAAATAATATAAATAAATAAAATATTAATTACATTTAGAGTTAGTAAAGTCTTAGATCTTAAACTTAAAAATTTAGTTAATAAATCAAATCTTTAAGTTTTTAGATTCAGTTTTCTAAATATGATTCTAAATAAGTCCTAATTAATCATATTTGTAAATTTGTCTATACTAGCATTTATGATAATTTTGGTCAAAATTATCATATATTAAAATCTAAAATCATCTTATTAAATAAATTAATTATATATATTACTTAATTATATATTTAAACTTTTAATTAAAGTTGCTATTTTTGTTTTAGTTTTAAGCTAATTCATAATTTATTCTAATTTTTAAAACTAATTTTATTAAAATAAAATTTTTGTTAATATATATATAGATTGTATAAATTTTTTACAAAATAGTTTGTTAATATATATATAGATTAATTAACATAAAAAATTTTTTGTATAACCTTATATATTTATATTATATCTTATTTACATCATTATTTATTTATATAACTTAATTATAAATATTAATAATAATGTAAATAGTATAAATAGTATAAATAGTATACTAGAAATTAAAGTAATATTTATATAAACTTCAAAAAATTTATAAAATTCTAATAAAGTTATAACTAAATAAAACTTGCATAAAATTTTCATTTGTGAAATTATATTGATTATGAAATTGAAAATAATTCAAAAATATCTATCTGTATAAATTATAAATTTATATTTTCTAAAAAGTTTAGTAACTTTAACATTAAATATTACCTTTTAAATTAACATAATATAATAATACCAAAAAGTTAAAATAAAAAGTTAAATTTAAATTTTTAATGTATAATTCTTTGACCTATAAAAGAAAATCTGAATGAAATAAAGTAGTTATTAATTAGGTTATTTCTAATTAGCAATTATTTATGAGTTTTAAATAAGTATTAAATAAAAGAATTAACTATTATAGAATTTGATAATTGACATTCAAAAATTAAATACAATTTGTATAAGATATTAGAAAAAGTATCTTTTATAGTAAATATATAAACATTAATGATAAGCAATAAAATATACCTAGATTTAATAATCTATTATATTAATCAAAATTAGATACTTCAATAATTTTTTACTTAATATCATTCCTTATAGAATTTGCTATACAGGAGTTAATAACAAAATGAAATTAGTGATATTTTCAATGAATTTAATTTAATAAATTAAATATTAATATTTATTATAAATAATAAATTTATAATAGTAGTATATGAATGAAAATTAGTAAAAGAATTTGAATATAATTTAAATAATTTATTTTTTAAGTATTATTACTGTTCAGCTCATATACTTAATCTTATAGTTAAACAAGGAATGAAGATAATTGATAAGATATTTAAATTATATAGACATTAATAAAAAAGTTTACAAATTTCATTCTATTATATAATAACTTATGTAAATTATATGCTATAAAAAATTCAAGTATTTACAATCTAAAATAAATATTAAAATAAGGTATAACTCTACTTATTATATACTTTACAAATTCTAAAGAATGGAAACAATATTAAAAATGCTTTTGATAAAGTATATAAGAATATTAAATTTAATACTAAATGTTATAACATAGATTAAAATAAAGGTAAATAAAATATATAATTAGTATTTTTCTTTTTTTAAATTATAAATTAAAATTTTTTAATTATAATAAAAGAAAATATTTATTATTTTAAAAAAGTAACTAAAATTTTCTTAGGATCAATATATCTAATGATAGTTAATATATAATTATATTTTAATAGAATTTAAATCATTTAATTTATTATATAAAAAAAGATGATTTTGATTAATATATATTAACTGATTTAATTAATCAAAAAATTAAAAAATTCTTAATAATACAACTACTATTATATCAATATTAGATTCTCAAAATAAAGTATCTCTTTTTGAATTAGATGAATCTATAAATAAGGAATAAAACCCTTTAATAATAGCTAAAATTTAAAAACTATATTAAAATTATAATAAAAAATATGATGAAATCCTTTAATATTATAAAAGCTAAAACTATCAAAACTTTATTAAAAATATAAAAAAGGATATGATAAAATTATTTTAAGGAGATTTCAGCAGACATCTATAGATAAACTAATAACAAAAATAATTAATGCTTTATAAAAATAATTTTTTTTACAATTTATGTAAAAATTACAATCTTAAATCATTCAAGAAAGTTTCATATCACTGTAAAATTTTTTTTTATTAATTAAAGTATTAATTAGGAATTGAATAATACAAATTTTAATTACTATAAATTCTAATTTTATAAAATAGAATAATACTTGGCCTTATTTTATTATAAAAATATAGATCCTCTTCTTTGGTGATAAGTTTATTCTAATGAATTTTTAATACTTTTATCAATAGCTCAAAATTATCTAGTGAAATAAATAACAAGTATATTATATAAATAAACTTTTTCTATTACAAGTAATATAATTACCAAAACTTAAAACTGATTAAACTTAGAAATTATAAAGATATCATTATGTGCAAAAAAATGGATTGATAATAATATAATAAATAAACAAAATATTAAAGAATAAAAAAATTTAGAATAAGCTTTTATTAATATCAAATATAATAGAAAATATAAATATTAAAATACAATTTAAGCTTACAATATCATATAAAATTGTTGAAGTAAAATAGTAGCATTATATATTATTTTTAATGATATAGATTGTAATATTTTTATCATTATAATTATAATAATAATTTTTTTTATATTTTTTGTTAAAACTTATATATGATTTAAATTGTTTAAAAAAATGCAAGACTTTTGTATTAATTACATTTTAGTAATTTATTAGTTAATTATTTAACTATAATAATTATATTATATAAATATATTGTGAACTTATTTAAATTTGATTCTAAAACCTATTTAGACCTAATTTTGAGACTTATTATATAAAGATCTAATTAAACTGATTTGTAAATCTATTTAATAGAATTTATAAGTCTTAGAATTAAAACTAATTTATAATTAACTTAACTAATAATCCTAATATACACTATTCTCAGAAAAGTATTCAGTTAAGCTTTTCTTAAATTACTCAAAATCAGACATAATAACTAGCTATTTTTTTTAAATGAATCTCTTAATTTTGATGATAATGTATATATATTTATATTTGTACAATAATATAAAGATTAGTTTTAATAAACAAAAATAAAAACATTTCTTTTTTTTAAAAATTGCATCATTCAATATAGGAAAAAGGCATAAATTAAATGAGTTTAAATGTGAAAAATAATTAGTTTATAGATAACTAGAAGAACTCATAAAGCTATTGCTTATCTTTTAAAATTCTATAAAGCACTGTTATAGATACAATCACCTAACATGCTAATTCAAATAATAGATTAAATGCTAAAAGAATCAGAAGACCACTTTATATAAATAATAACAATCATAAAATCCTTAAATGAAGAATAATCAAACTTCTTTTAATGAAATTCATCATAAGTTCTAAAATTTAAAAAATAGAAAAGTTTTACAAAATACTATTTGTAAAACTCTTCATCAAATAGAAATTCATTTACAAATTGCAGCATTAAAATCACTTTTTACAGAAATACAACATGAAAATCGATTAAAAT